TAATTTCATTTCTGTCATCAGCTTGCAACAAGGGAACCTGAAGCAGCAGCTGCAAAGCCAGGCCCCAAACATTCCCAGATCCCACTGATGATGCTCTGGAGAAGCATCCTGGGTCTCTGTGCAGGAAGATGTGTGTCTCTCTAGAGCATGTAGCTGGCTGTGGTTTTATGGAAGCAGAATCATATTTCAATCCTCTCTGAGGACTTGGGGGGAGTCAAATTTGTAACCCACTTCCAAGACCTGTGTGAGACAATAAAACATGCACATCTCTGGGCCTTTTTTCCCCCCCTAAACTCATGTTCCAGCTGCCCAAGGGCTTTCTAGGTGGCTCAGTGGTAAAGAATCCGCCTGCCAAGGCAGATGTGGGTTCGATCCCTGGGTGGCGAAGATTCCCCTGAAGGAGACAATGACAACTCTCTCCAGTATTCTTGACTGGGAAATCCTATGGACAGAGGAGCCTGGTGGGCCACAGCCCACGGGGTTGCAAAGAATCAGACATGACTGAGTGACTGAGCACACATCTTCTCTCTCCTCTCCAGCTCCCCAAGGCATTTATTTTTGCCTTTTGTGTTAATGTAGTTTTATTAGTCACCTCAATTCCTTTTCTGGAATAAGGGGGGGATATAAAATAGTAAAGCAGAATAAAATTATATATCCTGCCTATGACAGGAACTTTATTCATGACCCTCCACACTTTCCTCTCCTCCCCTTCAAAAAAAAAAAAAAAAAACCTAAAAAACTCTAGGATGAAAATATATAGTTTGATTCTGCTTTGGACTTCATAAACTTTCTGATATTATGCAAACATATTCTCTGTGCAGGAGAGCAAACACAATCAAGATGACTCCACATTAGGTGGCTGATCACCTAAAAGCTTTTGTTTCTCTTTTGCCCATCTTGCATTACAAAAGCCAGAAAGCCAGATATTTTATTTCCCAGCCCCTCTTGCGATTGGACCCAGGTTTAGAGTTGCCAGATTGAAAAAATTATTAATATTTCTACTTATATAGAATAACAAAATAACTGGGGATACCCAGTTAAATTTGGATTTCTCATGGGACATACTTACACTGAAAAAAAAAAATGTGTTTACCAAAATTCAAATTTAACTGGGCAACCTGTATCTCATTTGGCAATCTTACTCAGTTCTTATCATGAGATACAGAAGAAAGTATATTTGAGCACATCTGAGGACCACTTTACTCTGGATAAAAAGAGACTACTAAAGAAAAGACTTATCTTTTCTGCCATGAATGCAGTTGTGATGCCAGACACTCTAGCAGCTACTTTATAAGGCAACAAAAAAAATTAAAGCCAACGCGCTCAGCAAGACAGAGCACAAAGAGCAAACCCAGGTCCTTGATGGTATTCTTCAACCAACAGTACTGAAAGCATTCTAGATACCCACTGGCGGTGCTGTCTTCTGCTTTTGTTTTTTTAAATAAATTATACTTGATGTATAATGCTGTGTTAATTTCAGGTATATGGCAAAGGGATTCAGTTATAAACATATAAATACATAACTTGTAAATATTATATATTGTTTTATATATATATTTTTAGATTCTTTCCATTTATTATATTGAACATAGTCCCCTGTGCTATATACTAATAGTAGGCCCTTGTTGTTTACTTTATATATAGATACAGTAGTGTTTCTGCTAATCCCAAGCTATCTTATGCACCTCATTCTCCTTTGACAAGCGTAAGTTTGTTTTCTATATCTGTGAATCCATTTCTATTTTATAAATAAGTTCATTTGTTTCATTTTTTTAGATGCCACATATAAGTGATATCATACAGTGTTTGTCTTTCTCTATCTAACTTACCTAGTATGGTGATCTCTAGTTCCATCCATGTAGCTGCAAGTGGCATTATTTCATTATTTTTAAGGCTGAATAATATTTCACTATTTATATATACATTATAATTTTAAAACATTTTAGCTACCTCGAGGGACATATGGAATCTTTGTTCCCTGACCAGGGATGGAACTCATGTCCCTTGCATTGCAGGTGCAAAGCCTTAACCAGTGGACCGCCAGGGAAGCTCCTAGGACATATCTTCTTTATCCATTCATCAGTCAATGGATATTTAGGTTGCTTCCTTGTCTTGATTATTTCAAATAGTGCTGCTATGAACATTAAGGTGCATGTATTTTTTGAATTAGTTATCATCTTTTCTGGATATATGCCCAGGAGTGGGATTGCTGGATCATATGGTAACTTAGTTGCAGTGTTTTTTTTAACATTATTTCTGCTACTAAATAATCAAAAGCCTCACTAAAATTTTTGCAGAAAAAGATCACTCTTCATTAACAGCACATAGGGCAGCCCCCAAATGGGAAATAAGCGAATGTAATAAATGTGAAAAATTTACCGGAAATAAGGAAATGAGGCATCAGGGCAGCCATGGGGGTATTTTCTATGCTATTTGGGACAAGGGGAGAAGGGATATAGATATAAAGCAGCAGTCAAAAGCACAAATTCCAGAGCCAACCTGTCTGGTTTCAGATCCAGTTCCATCATTTATTGGCAGTGAGAATATTTCAAGGAGAGAGGTGGTCGCCCATATCAGATGCTGCTGAGAAGCTGAACCAGCCATGGACCAAGAGAGGGTCCCTGGGTGTGATGGTTTCAATGTCACTGATGTCCTTCCTAAGAGCAGCTTCAGTTAAGCAGTGTGTGTGGAAAGGATTACAAGAGGTTTTAGATGAGTGGGTGGGAGAACAGGAGAGGCAGTGAATGACTGTAAACCCTAGGTGAAATCAGTTCCAAGCTCCAATTCAAAAACTAAAACCACATTTTGGAACACATGTCTTGATTGTGGGAAGTACGGGGCGGGAGGGAGAGGGCATGAAAGTTGACCCCTGGTGAGATCCTCCTAAAGTGCTGGGTCAACCATTTCCTCTTGCGGTGCTTCTCAACTTCAGTATTTCCAAATGTATCACTTTCGCCATCTCTGCTGCATTCATTTTTTAAATGAAATTTATAGGTACTTTAAGGGATATTTTATAACACAACTATCAACAGTAATGGTGTATCCTTAGCCTAGAAGAGAAATGTAATCCATTAAAAAGTGTAAGGAAAAACAAATATAATTGAAGCCAAGGCAAGTTTTATAAACTTCAGCCAAATGCTACTGCTGCCACAGTTGGTGAAGTGCTGTAACACTCTGACCTTCTCTTATGATCAAAACCAAAACTGATGCTAAGGGGGAGGTGAGGAGGAAGAGGGGTGGGTTGGGAGTTTGAGGTTGGCAGACACAAACTGTTATATATAGACTAGATAAAAAAACAAGGTTCTACTGTACAGTACAGGGAACTAGATCCAATTGTAATGAAACATAATGGAAAAGAAAATAAAAAAGAATGTATACATACGTATAACTGAATCACTTTGCTATACAACAGACATTAATACAACACTGTAAGTCAACTGTACTTCACTTAAAAAACAAGACCAAAACATTAGGAACAACACTAACATGGTAGTGCAAACACACATAAAAATGAAACAAGTTATAAAAAAAGTACTTACGCTTACTACTGATAATGTGCTATGAACATTTTCCATTCTATTCCTTATCTTTTGAAAGTAATGGACTTGATTCCCCAAGTGGATTCACCATCCATTAATGGCTAGTACATGGTTTCAAAAACAATGAATTTGTAAATATGACATTACTGTTGAAGACCCATCAGTACTAGCCTGCTATCTTTTCCTTGAAAGAATTCTTAAGATTTGAAAGATAATTGAAAAGCAAGTAACTTTCTCACTGGGTCATTCAACGTTATTTCACGCTGTATCACCACCGACTCCCGCCCACAAGCACGCTGGTGTGTAGTGGGACGCAGGTCACACTCTAGGGAACGCTGATCTCTGATTCTGCAACCTCGAGGGGAGGAGAGGGCCAGGGGGCTGGCTTGCTGCCATTCTGCACATGCAGGTTCAAGTTCACAGCTCACTCACATAACCAAGAATGTCATCAGGCATGGACAGGCCCTATGATTCTGAATCTCCAGGGACCCTTTAATCTGTACTAGTATCACATCTGTGTGAGTTTGTTACTGCTGCTATAGCAAACGACCACAGACTCACTGCTTACAACAACACAAGTTTATTCTCTTCTTGTCCTGGGAGTAAGAAATCTGAAATCAGTTTCACTGGGCTAAAGTCCAAGTGTTGGCAAGGCTGGTTCCTTCTGGACGCTCGGAGATATTCTCGTGCCCTTTTCAGCATCCAGTGGCCACTTACATTCAACTTTTACCCGTCCCTCATCTTCAAAGTGTATCACTCCGGTCTCTGCTTCTGGCGTCACACCACCTATTCCTCTGACTCTGCCCTCCCTCCTTCCCTTAAAAGGAAGGACTCTTGTGATTACATCCGGCCCACCTGGATGCTCCCACCTCAAGATCCTTAACTTACTCACATCTGCAAAGCCCCTTTTGCCATACAAGGTAACATACTCTCAGCCGGGGGGATTGGGAAGGGACATTTTAGAGGGTCATCATTCAGCCTGCCACAGTGATCAAGGTGAAGGAGGATTTGAGCAGGCAAGGGCAGAAATGGGAGCAGAGATGAGCTCCAACCTCTTGTCAAGATGCCAAGTGCAAGGTCAGGTGCCACACATAAGAGCACATGGGAGTAAATCCCACAACGGATGCAAGGGCAGGAGCTGAGTCTGACTCACGGACGGTGAGCCAAGGTCAAGGTCAGGCTGAGGATCTTTGGTTCCAGCTGACACAGAGGGGAACCACAGTACCCCTCGCCCCAGGGAGCAAAGGATAAACAGCGGAGGACTGGCAACTGGCAACGGAGATTTATTTAAACTGCGAGCCAACAGGAACAAGAACTTGTACAACCACCCCAGTAAACGAGGCTTCTTGGAGAATGGGGGAGAGTGGCAGCCAGGGCTTCCCCACCGCTCAGGAAACTTGGAGACTCAACTCCGGAAAGGCCGCTGACTTCAGCTCTGGCTCAGCACGAGTCTTGAACAGATCAATAAGTTATTTCCTTCAAACCTGAGGGGAGGAAACACACAGATGCTGAGAAGGGGCTGTCAGAGGCTGAGGCAGAGAAAACAGTCAGAGGCGGAAGAATGTGACCCTGGGGCCCCAGGTCCACAGGGACTGGCTCTGGGGCGATGGCTGCACATTCAGTTAGTGCACCCAGCCTTCCTGGTTGTGTAAGATAAGATTCCACAAGGAAACAGGAGGCTGGATGAGACAGTGTTTACAGGCGGCTTAAAAGGGATTAAGAAATGTTACAGCGGTTTATGGGCTGGCTCTCTGCAGTAAAACCCACACGTCCGTTCTTTAAATGCTGAACTTTTTTTTTTTTCTGAATCAATACCTTTCATTCAGACAACTTGTTTACCGAGTTCAATCTTGAGTGTTCTGCTTTTTACCTTAAATACATTTAAAAATTACTATTGGCCCATTTTGGGTGAGAAAGAAGTCAAAGGGTTACTGACTAGTCTTCGCAATTTTGTTCACCCTTTTCTCTTTGAGTTAAATTCAGTAATAAAAAAGACTGGTGTAGGCAATTTACTTCTTCACATATCTAGTAATTTTTTTTTAATCAAATACTGACCAGTCCATCCTAAAGGAAATCAGTCTTGAATATTCATTGGTAGAAATGATGCTGAAGCTGAAACGCCAATTCTTTAGCCACCTGATGTGAAGGACTGACTCATTGGAAAGGACCCTGATGCTGGGAGAGATTAAGGAGGGAGGAGAGGGGGATAACAGAGGATGAGATGGTTGGATGGCATCATCGACTCAATGGACATGAGTTTGAGCAAGCTCCAGGAGTTGGTGATGGACAGGGAAGCCTGGCGTGCTGCGGTCCATGGGGTCGCAAAGAGTTGGACATGACTGAGCTACTGAAGTGAACTGAACATGGTGGGTGCTAAGCTGAGCAGACTGAATTCTGATATCTTCCTCTGAAGAGTGTTGAGTTTTGTTTTAGCAGGCAATTTTATTACTGGAGAATCATTCTGATTTTCCAGAGTCTTGGCTGTAGGTTTCTTTAGTATCAATCTGTTTGGATTTTATCCTACAGCCTATTCTCTAGGAACTTGGTCTTTTAGATGCTGAACTTCAAGCAAACACATACAGTTTCTCCTCTACACATATACAAGTTAAGTACAGTAAGTCCCTTACATACGAACGAGTTCCGTTCCATTCCATTCCAAGAGCGTATTAGAAAGTCCAATTTGTTCATAAGTACAACAAAGTTAGCCTCCGTGCCCAACTAACACAATTGGCTATATAGTACTGTACTGTAATAGGTTTATAATACTTTTCACACAAATAACACATAAAAAATAAACACACAAAATAAAGAAAACATTTGTCATCTCACAGTACAGTACCTTGAAAAGTACAGTAGTACAGTACAACAGCTCGGCGCACAGGGGCTGGCATTGAGTGAAGAGGCGAGAAGAGTTGCTGACGGAGGCGGGCAGGGAGGTGGGAGGCAGTAGACCCGAAGGACTGGCAGCAACAGGAGATGGAGGGAAAGCTGCCAAGTCACTCACACCCGACACTGACGGAACGCACGTCCGCATCTCTCAAAGTTCGCGACTCGAAGGTTCGTGTGTAAGTGACTTACTGTACCAACACCACAAGCAGTCAGGCGCCAAGTGGGGAAAAGAAGCCCCTTACGTAGAAAAACTCAATGCATCATCACTTGACAGAATCCAGAATTAATTCTACACTGTTACAAGTTACCTATATTTTTTAAAAGTTTAAGAAAATTAAGTAAATGCAGACAGAGCTTCATGACAGAATATTTATAAAGACATGGAAATTATGCGCATGCAGAGGTTTTAATAGCAAAGGGAAATGCTTATGTTATAATATTAAGCTTAAAAAGATCCGGAATCAAGGTTACATAGAAAATTAAACCCCACTAAAAGCAAATCAACAGCCAGAAAAAGAATAGAAGGGAAAAGCTGCCAGAGGTTATCTCTGAATCATGGGCATATGGGTGATTTTTTTTTTCTTTGCCATACTTTTTTTTAGAAGTTTCCAAAGTCTCTGCTCAAAATTACAGTTTCCAAAACTAGGGAAAAACAGCAGTACAAAAACACAGTAATAAATGATTTTCTAAATAAAAAATAATTTAAATGGATTTTGTGGACTGAACTGCCCAGCTGGGTAAATTTATAAACTGGTGGAAAGATAAGCCCAAGGAGGATGATTAACAACCTGGAATTTTCACACAGGAGACAGTCCTTGGTTCCCCCAAGCTCTTTGTTTTATACTCACTACCTGCCTAAGGCAGTATGTCAGACATAGCTATAGGAAGTCCGAGGGCACTTGTAACAGCAAAGGCCAGAACTGGGATCTAAACTATCTCCACTGGGCTGGAGAGTTGTCCAGGAGAAGCAGGTCGACAAGGGGCATCTATAAAGCAGGAACTGGGTCAAGATCAGGGAAACAAGACGCCGAGACAAGGCTCCGAGCTTTGTCCCCACGGCCCGGCTCGTCCAAGCCAGGGGATTCACCTTCAATGTAAGAGAAGATAAGAGAGAGAAATTCAACCCACAGCTGCAGGGGTGTTAGACAGAAGCAATGACCTGTGTGTTTTAACACCCAGTAAACCTGGTGACAAGCAGATCAAAAAGCTGAACATTGGATCCTTTCATTAAGATGATTACAAGACTCAAGGTCTCTTACCATCCAGTTGAGGAAATTCCACAAACAACCCTAAAGGGCTGTTGGTTGGTTTTCATACATGTTGTTTTATTTGAACAGTTCTCCTGGGTTTTGTGCTATAAAAACAGAGGATATAACTGCTGATTTTCTATGTTCACGGATCCATGTATATGAGCCCTAGTTTCTCCTGGGTATAAAATTCCCATTGAGCATTATGCTCTCTGGAGACAAAAAATACCCTAGAAAAATTCCAATCAATATAAGTGAAGTCACCTACCTAGCTCGCTTCCTCCTTTGGTGGCCCAGCAAAGGCAGTAATGCTGCATGAGCTGTTCAAGAAGCTCCATTTCATCCAGGAATTCAAGGGACTCTATTCTGTGGAATGAAGAGACAACAGTATAAATGTATCCAATTAAAAATGAAGGCCGCGATGCATACTGTCGGGCATGGAAAAGCGTTCAGGATAGACTATGTGAAAAGAAGCAGGCTACAGGATAGTATGTATGGCGTAGGTCCGTTTTAGCTTAATTTTATTGCAAAGAAGAAGAAGGAAAAAAAACTCCATAAGCAAAGTCAAAAGTGACAGATGACAACTAGACGAGAATGTTTATAATACAAATGACAAGGAGGTAGATTTCCTTGTCATATAAAAGAGCTGTTACACTTCAGTAAGAAAGAACACTTTTTAAAACTTATTTAAAAGATGGGGAAAAGACCAGGTCACTGGCAATGAAAACAATAGCTTTTCAATCTCATTTATATGAAAAGAAACGTAAATTAAACCAGGACTGCTGCCATGTACTGTCTGCTGTCTGCACATGGTGGGGTTCTGCTCCAAGACCTTGCTTCAGATGTCATGGACTGAGCTCCGGAACCACTCGCAAAGAAGATCTTTAAAGGAGTTTTAGTAGTGGAACCTGTGGGCATTTTTGGTGTGTGTTTTTTTGTTTAAAAAGATGAACACAAGCCAAGATTTTAGGCAAACGATGAGCAAGAAATTTCCCTTCACCTTGGAAGTATATTACAAATCCACTGAACATTCTGGATGGAATGTATGGAGTCAGAAAGCAAGATCAAGAAATATGGTTGAATGGCAAAAATTAGGAGTCTGATTATCGATCAAGGTTTGCTCTATTTCATAGGATTGGGCAAGATTAAAACTCCAAAGTTGACATGGGTGGATTTTAGAATATTTAAGGTTAAATGTAAATTCTAATTAAGCTGGAGGTTTTATTCTTCAGACTAACTGAAGAAACTGATGGAGGGTTTCTTTTATTACATTATAAATGGAGTTTTGCTTACTACTCAAAATAAAGTGATTCTCCTTAAAAAAATGTTGTGCACCTGAAACTAATGTTGTCTGTCAATTATACCTCAATGTGAAAAACTACTGTCGTTAGCATATATCCACACATCAGGATAAATACCAGGCACCACTAAACAGGACAGGGTAATCCTGAACATCTTGACATGCAGAGATAAATACAAACTATTGTTAAGCTTCTGAAAGGATGGTGATTTACAGACAAATACATGTATCAATCTACTGATTCAAAAAATACAAATCTATAGATTGATAAATATTTATATACACATAGAAAAAGAATATACTCTGATTTATTCACAGCACACAACTGCTCTATACTTCACACACTTTACTTGAAAATTGTTTTAGAACAACAAGCATGTATTTCTTTTATAATGAGGGGGAAAGTCCACTTAAAAATCCATAAGCAGACTCCCCCACCCGCTTAGGACCCCTTGGGCAATGTGACTTTCCTCCTTTTCCAAAACACAGGGATTGTGCAAGATTTCCACTGCAGAGGTGTAACTGCTTATTTTTGACTAAAATAACCTGTTTGGGCATAAACCTTATCTTGGCTAATAGCTAATGAGTTACTCTCAAGGAGCTAGCAATGTTTAATCTATGTTAGCAGCAGTTAACTTGTTTCAAAATAGGTCTAGTTGGGGGTTGGGTTGTTTTTTTTTTTAAAAAACATTAAAAGGTATGGACAACGATGCCTTTCATTCACAATTACTTGCCATACAGCAGACTCTTGTCAATCCCGTACCTGATCACTTCGGCACGAGGCAGCTTGCTGTACAATTCCATCATGTCAATGGCTGACACGGACTCCCACCCGCTGGTCAGGAGCCGTTCTCTCTAAAACGTGGGGTGGAGAGAAAGGGAGACGACAGGAGCTGTCACAAGACCCAGGCACTCTTTGCACACACTGCTTCCCTCGGAGGGCTCCTCTTTCAAAAGCCCATTCTGGACCCTCTCATCTGTCTTTTCATTTTCCCCCTTTTCTCTACTCAATAGTGGGGGCATTCCAAAGTATAATATTTAAAGAAAAATAAAGGAAGAAACTCTTCTATGTAATCAACAGGTTTTTAAAGGGCCCTGGTGGTAATGACATAAGCCATGTAAAAACTAAGCCATTTAAAATGGGGTAGGGGTGGGGAAGTGCCTCTTGACCAAAAAATTTCTAAACTTTGGGGTAACAATTACAGATTGCAAGAATTTAAACCAAGCACAAAGTGTGAATCATGTTTGGATCCTGATTCGAATACACCAACCATGAACAATTTTTTAGACTGATAAAACCAAGTATGAATTGGGTGGGTGTCAGCTGCTATGAAGGAGCATGTCAACTTGTCAGATGTGATCATGGTATTATCAATATCCTGGGCAAAGGAAGGTCCTTACTGGTAGGAGATTCACACTGAAGTACTTACGAGGGAAATGAAACATTGTCTGGGATTTGCCTTAAATATTCCAATGTGCTCAGACACTCAGTCATGTCCGACTCTTTGTGACCCCATGGACTGCAGCCCGCCAGGCTTCTCTGTCCGTGGGATTATCCAGGCAAGAATACTGGAGTGGGTTGCCATTTCCTCCTCCAGGGGATCTTCCTGACCCAGGGATTGAACCCACATCTACTCGTGAATCCTGAACTGCCGGCAGATTCTTTACCACTGAGCCACCTTTCCAATGACACCACCAACAAAAATTTGGGGGAAGGGGTAACAATATAGCAATGACAAAATATTATTAATTATTGAAGCTGGCTGGTGGGACATAGGTGTTTGCTTTAATTATTTCCTCTACTCTTATGTTGTTTGAAAAACAGCATAATAAAAAATTAAAGTAACAGGAGACAGGAAACATAAACTTGTATTTTCTATGTTAAGATGGCAGCACAGGGCTTGGATCTCCCCCACATGATGACCCAGTGGCCCACATGGAGCCCTGGCTGCCCGCAGGCAGGCACTCCGGAAGGACTCCCACATTCTCCCATCTGCGGAGGGAGGAGGCCCTTTCTCGGTTGGCCAAGGGTACAAGGGGACGTCTGGGTCTCTGCCCTCTGACCTGCGACTCCAATGACTTGCAAGTCTCCACTCCAGCCAGGTCACACTGTCGTCTACGCAGGTTCTCGATCATGATCTGCCCAAACCGGTCATCCATGTTCACCTGGGAAGGGAGAGAGGAGGCTGGGCGCTGCCACAGGGTCTCTCTGGCTCTTAAAACATGCAAATTAAAATAACCACCTCCTATTTCTAAGCAGTCAAGGCTGACAATACCCAGTGCAGGTCATGGAACCCCAAGTGCAGTGCTGATGAAGTAAGCCCTTGAAAGGCAACTGGGCAGAGTTCATCCATTGCAAACACTCAGCCTGGCACCAGATAACTCCACTGCTAGGAGCCCATCTCACAGGTAGACTTGCGTGTGTATGCGAAGACGCAAGAACATTTACTGCAGCACTATGTATGACAGAAAGGATCTGGAAAGAACTTAAATACCCATTGCCTGGGGTTAAATAAATTCTGGCAGGTTTATACAATGAAATACCATATACCCATGAAAACATAAAAAGAAGATAGACAGATATGAGATGGCCCCTAAGATAAACTCTTGAAAAGTAATTTACAGAGGAATGTGTGCAGTATGCTCCCATCTATCTTTAGGAGAAAAAAAAAAAATCTCTTCACATTTACATATGCACAGGAAAATTCTAGAATACAGCAAGGTTGCTTCCCAGGTTAGAGGCTGAGGTCTGCGATAGATGAGAAACTTTTCTTTGTTTACCCTTCAAACTAGATGACTTTTTAAAATTTGCATGTGGCATTACTTTCTGAATAAAGAAGAAAGGCCAAAGAATGTTCAGACTACTACACAATTGCGCTCAGTTCACATTCTAGCAAGGTAATGCTCAACATCCTGTTGAAGCTAGGCTTCAACAGTACATGAACCAAGAACTTTCAGATATATTTCAAAACAGGATTTAGAAAAGGCAGAGGAACCAGAGATCAAATTGCCAACATCTGCTGGATCATCGAAAAAGCAAGAGAGCTCCAGAAAAACATCTACTTCTGCTTCACTGACTACGCTGAAGACTTTGACTGTGAGGATCACAACAAACTGTGGAAAATTCTTAAAGAGATGGGAATACCAGACCACCTTACCTACCTCTGAATAAAAAAAAAAAAAAGGTTTAAAAAACATCATGTATATATGTGTGCAAAATGGCTGATGCATGTCAATGTATGGCAAAAACCACTACAATATTGTAAAGTAATCAGCCTCCAGTTAAAATAAATAAATAAATAAATAACATCATGTATATATGTGTGCAAAACAACATATCATGCACATTAATGTAGTGCATACACTGGTACTTTGCCATATATAAGGTATCAAAAATTCAGCACTTTAACAATATATGAAGTGATTCCCCAATCCTCTGCAAGACAAGAACCAATGTTACTCTTCTTTGTGGGGGGATGCATAGGGCTTATATGGCAGTAATGATATGACTGCAGACTATTCATCAGGAATAGAAGCATATTTGTGAGCACAAACTCCTTCATTTTATTGCCTCGGTTTGAATCTTGGCTTGATATTTAATAGCTGTGAGCAAGATACCTAATCCCTTGGTTCAAACCCTTACCTGTAAAACCAGGAATAGTACTAGTACCTACCTTGTGGGCTGTTGTAATGATTAAACAGGTTAATATATATGAAACTCAAAGAAAAGCGCCGGCTATATAAGTAATCAAATCCTAAGAATCTGAAATCATTATTAATGAAATAATCATCTTCCATGTTGTTTTGTCATTTAACTATTAATTAAATAACAACATAAGACATATGAGCAATTGACGAACACAAGGCTGATGATTCTGTACTTGTCAGGAAATAAATGAATTAAAAGTTGATTATTCACAAAATGAAGGTGGTGGGCAGGGTTTAACCCCATTGAGGGACAGCTGTGGTCAACATACTAAAAACTAGTACAATCTCAGCCCTGCTCCAAAGTGACAGGGTCTCTGGCCAAAGTTTATTTAACCCCTTATCTCTCACGTGATGTTGAATAAAAGAACACACAAATGAAACAGTACACATCTGAAACGTGTGGACACGTGGGAAGTGAAATTCCTTCTCGCCAGGTATGGTGTCCTGAAAACAGAGACAGGTCGCCAGGATTTCTCCACGTTGAGAGTACAGACTGACGAGGTCAGCAGCCACTATATTCATTCACCAGGTCAAAAGACTACGTCTGCGGCTTCCCTGGTGGTCCAGTGGTTAAGAATCCACTGTGCAGGGCAGGGGATGCCAGCTCGAACCCTGGTCCGGGAAGATCCCACATGCCTCGGGGCAACTAAGCCCGTGAGCCGCAACTACTAAAGCCCGTGTGCCCCAGAGCCCGTGCTCCAAAAGAGAAGCCACTGCAACGAGAAGTCTGAGCGCAACTCGAGAGGAGTCCCCACTCTGCAACCAGAGAAAGCCCATGCGAGCGGCGAAGACCCAGTGCAGTCAAAAATACATACATAAATATTTTTAAAAAAAATTTTTTTAAAAAGACTGAATCTGAGGAATGCTTCCAATTAAAGAGAGGAAAAGAAGAAAACTCAACCAACCAAGAACCACCTATACCAGCACCTGGGCTGGGTGGGGGGGTAGGGAAGACAGGAGACCAAGGTCCAGTCCCAGACCTGTATGTAGCTACGTGACATTGGGCAAGGCGCTGCACTGCCCTTATCTGTAATAACATTTGAAAATAAAATAAAAAGCGGTAAAAAAATAAATAAATAAAATCAATAAAGCTAAACTAAAATAAACAATAACAGCAGCTAACATGTACTGGCACTGCTCATCATCAGTCCACTGCTGTTCAACATCTCAGGAATTCCCATAATAATCCAGAGAGGCAAGTCTTCTTTTTTTAATGAATGCACTTGCCAAATTTAGTCTGGATTATTTAGACTTGAGAGGCAGGTATTCTTATCCCTGGGGCTCTGAGAGATCCAAACAATAACTGAGTTAATAACAGCTTACTGAATGCTGTCAAAGCTTGTGCACCTGTTAGCTCATTTATGAACGACGAAGTTGGGGTATCATCATCTTCATTTTTCAGATGAGGAAACAGGCACAGAGAGGTTAAGTAACTTGTCCAGATCACAGAGCGAGGCAGTCTGTCTCCACAGCACAAACTCCCAACCACAAAACAATTCTGCTGCAGGTCACACAGACCCAAGACGAATTATTCCAAAACACTAAAACCTAACCTTTTAGGCACCAGATGAGAAGAGAACAAGGAGCCAGAGGCCAGACTCAGTGATTTTAGAAATGAGGAAAGTGAAGTGAATTCTCCAGGAATTCAGTCCTTGGAAGTCTCCAGGCCAGAATACTGGAGTGGGTAGCCATTCTCTTCTTTAGGGGATCTTCCCAACCCAGGGACTGAACCCAGGTCTCCCACACTGCAGGAGCTGTGAGCACAGTGAGCTCAGCTCAGCTCATTCCAGCTGAGCCACAGGAAATGTTACAGTAAAACACTGGATTTCTAATCTCTCTTGCAAAATTGGGAGTTCAGGCAACTCTAGGCTCACTCCACATGGTAACAACTGACTGGCAGTGAAAAGCGGGCATCTCGTGAAATGGAACATGGGTGTCCCAGTTCACCACAGGCCCCACCACTCCACACCCTATGACACCTGGCCAGCTTCTTCCATCTGCATCACTATCTGCCTCTGAAGGCATGTGAGTTCAGTACCCCTACCCTGATGACAGCCAAAATTCCCTCCATCACGATCTATGACTTTACAGTAAATATGGAGATAAAGTAAGAACACAAAAAGCCTCCTTAAAGGCCAAGATGGAAGTTCCAGAAACTCTAGATAAAAATTTGCAGGCAGTCATGAACTCAGAAATACTTGGTTTAGGGCAGTGGTTGGGAATCCACCCTGGAATGGAAGGGACACCGGTTCAGTCCCTAGTCCGGGAAGATCCGACTAAGGCCACGTTCCACGACTACTGTGCCCACACTCTCGAGCCCGTGCTCCGCAGAAGAAGCCCTGGCACCGCAGAGGCAGTCCCTGCTGGCGGCTACCAGAGGGAGCCCAGGTGCACAGCGAAGACCCAGCTCAACCAAAAACATTAAATACACAAACCTCAAGAACAGAAAAGAATACCAGGTTTGCTGGAACTGATTAACTAAGGAGCTACATGAGAACCACAGAGGCAGAAGGAAAATAATAAGGGAAAGCAGAGTCAAGAGCAGAAAAGTCACCCCTGAGTCCTGTGCTGAACGCGGATTTCTTGAGCTTCCTCTTACCTGTTCGTAGTTTATGAACATGGCAGTCTCAAAACTGTTGGCGGCCCACTTGAGGAGGTTTGCAGACTGCTCCGGAGTCATGTACACCAGCACACATTCGGCTATCAGGAGGGTCGGCAATCTTAAGGGAAGAAAAAAAGGCACATAAATATGTTTTCATCCAGGTGGGACTCTCTAAATGCATTCACGTTGCAGTTCAAACCCCAGTGCTCTCGGTTTTCATATTAACAATCAATGCAGCAGGAATCTTCAGTTTTACAATGCAAAAAGGTGAGTGATCAGTGATGATTTTTGTCTGGCTGTTGAAAACGCAGACTATAAAAATGGCTACAAGCTCTTGCTAACTGTACACCCACACCGTGGCACTCTGGCCAGGCACAGCCTGCCACTCAGGGGGCAGAGTTTATTTCCCTCCTCCTGCAATCTGGGTGAGTCGTGTAACTTGCTTTGGCCAATGGAATATCAGCAGAAGCTTGGAAATGACCTGGACGCTGGTGCTTGCTCTCTTGCTGTACTTGGAAACCTGAAACCACTATGGAAATGAACCCAAGCTAGCTTGCCCTCAGAGGGGAGGTCCTGTGGTTGAGAATGACGCAGCTCCACTGACCAATCCGTTCTCCACACATGAACAAACCCCAGAGGACATGAACTAAACCTGGCCCCTAGCAGATGAATCACCCAGCTAAGCCCAGGCCAGGTAAAGAAGGCTATTTGGGAATTTTTTGCATGATTTTTGCAACTTTTTTGTAGATTTGAATCATTTAAAAAATGAAGTTAGACATAATAACAATGTATTTTGTAAGAGGTAGCCATTAGCAACATTAGAAAGAGGATTAACACTTTTCAAAATATAAGTGAAAGAAAAGCAAACAAGACAGCCCATAAAGGAAAACAGAACACAAATGAAATCTGAATGCTTGTTACACCAATTGTTCTTCATCTATGTCGTAGATCTCCAAAGTGAGGCAAACTTCCTATGAAGATCTGGTCTGATTTATACACGATTACTTCCGTGACCTTCCAGCACATTTTCCAAACAGCTGGCTATTCAGCTGCAACTGTATTCAGAGTCAGATGCAGCTGACTCGGGGGCCTAATATGTGCCAATTTCTCCTCAACGGTTTTCACACGCGCTACCTGATCTTCAAAACCATCTTGTGTAACAGTTTTTATCCCAGTTCATAAATGAAGACACCAAGGCTCAAAGAGATTAAAAAAAACAAAAACCCCAAAACCCTGTCCTCTATTAAACAACTAGTAAGCAGAAGTAAGCTTCTTGGCAGAAAAGTTATGACAAAGCCAGACAGTACGTTGAAAAGCAGAGACATTAGTCTGCTGATAAAGGTCTGTATAGTCAAGGCTATGGTATTCCCAGGAGTCACGTACTGTTGTGAGAGTTGGACTGTAAAGAAGGCGGAAAGCCAAAGAATCGATGCTTTCTAACTGTTCAGTTCAGTTCAGTTCAGTCGCTCAGTCACGGCTGACTCTTTGCAGCCCCATGGACTATAGCACGCCAGGCTTCCCTGTCTACCACCAACTCTCGGAGCTTACTCAAACTCAAGTCTATCGAGTCAGTGATGCTATCCAACCATCTCAACCTCTGTGGTCCCCTTCTCCTCCTGCCTTCAATCTTTCCCAGCATCAGGGTCTTTTCCAGTTCTTTGTATGAGGTGGCCAAAGGACTGGAGTTTCAGCTTCAGTGTCAGTCCTTCCAATGAATAGTCAGGACTGATCTCCTTTAGGATGGACTGGTTGGATCTCCCTGCAGTCCAAGGGACTCTCAAGAGTCTTCTCCAACACCACAGTTCAAAAGCATCAATTCTTCGGTCCCTGGCTTTCTTTATAGTCCAACTCTCAGATCCATACATGACTACTGGAAAAACCACAGCTTTGACTAGATGGACCGGACCTTTGTTGGCAAAGTAATGTCTCTGCTTTTCAATGTGCTGTCTAGTGAAGCTTTTCTTCCAAGGAGCGAGTGTTTTTTAATTTCGTGGCTGCAGTCACCATCTGCAGTGATTTTAGGGCCCAAGAAAATAAAATCTGTGTTTCCATTGTTTCCCCATCTATTTGCCATGAAATGATAGGACCAGATGCCATGATCTTAGTTTTCTGAATGTTGAGTGTTAAGCCAACTTTTTAACTCTCCTCTTTCACTTTCATCAAGAGGCTGTTTAATTCTTCTTTGCTTTCTGCCATAAGGGTGGTGTCAACTGTGTATCTGAAGTTATTGATATTTCTCCCGGCAATCTTGATTCCAGCTTGTGCTTCATCCGGCCCGGCATTTCACATGATGTACTCTGCATATAAGTTGAATAAGCAGGGTTGACAATATAAAGGCTTGACATATTCCTTTCCGATTTGGAACCAGTCTGTTGTTCCATGTCCAGTTCTAACTGTGGCTTCCTGACCTGCATACAGATTTCTTAGGAGGCAGGTCAGATGGTCTGGTATTCCCATCTCTTTAAGAATTTTCAACAGTTTGTTGTGATCCACACAGTCAAAGGCTTTGGCATAGTCAATAAGGCAGAAATAGATGTATTTCTGGAACTCTCTTGCTTTTTCAATGATGCAACAGATGCTGGCAATTTGACCTCTGGTTCCTCGGCCTTTTCGAAATCCAGCTTGAACATTTGGAAGTTCACCATTCACATACTGTTGAAGCCTGGCTTGGAGAATTTTGAGCATTACTTTGCAAGCATGTGAGATGAGTACAACTGTACGGCAGTTTGGATATTTTTTGGCATTGCCTTTCTTGGGATCGGAATGAAAACTGACCTTTTCCAGTCCTGTGGCCACTGCTGAGTTTTCCAAATTTGCTGGCATACTGAGTGCAGCACTTTCACAGCATCGTCTTTTAGGATTTGAAATGGCTCAATTGGAATTCCATCACCTCCACTAGCTTTGTTTATAGTGATGCTTTCTAAGGCCCACTTGACTTTGCATTCCAGGATGTCTGGCTCTAGGTGAGTGATCACACCATCGTGATTATCTGGGTCATGAAGATCTTTTTTGTATAGTGCTTCTGTGTATTCTTGCCACCTCTTCCTAATAGCTTCTGTTAGGTCCACACCATTTCTGTCCTTTATTTTGCCCATGTTTGATGAACTGTTCCCTTGGCATCTCTAATTTTCTTGAAGAGATCTCTAGTCTTTCCCATTCTATTGTTTTCCTTTCTTTCTTTGCATTGATCACTGAGGAAGGCTTTCTTATCTCTCCTTGCTATTCTTTGGAACTCTGTATTCAAATGGGTATATCTTTCCTATTCTCCTTTGCCTTTAACTTTTCTTTTCTCAGCTATTTGTAAGGCCTCCTCAGACAACCATTTTGCCTTTTTGCATTTCTTTTTCTTGGAGATGGTCTTGATCACTGCTTCCTGTACAATGTCACGAACCTCCAACCATAGTTCTTCAGGCACTCTATCAGATCTAATCCCTTGAATTTTTTTTACCACTTCTACTGTATAATCATAAGTGGAAGCTAGAAAAAACTACTGGGAGTCTCTTGGACAACAAGGAGATCAAACCAGTCAATCTCAAGGGAAATCAACCCTGAATGTTTGTAGGAAGGACTGATGCTGAAGCTGAAACTCCAGTAGTTTGGTCATCTGATGCAAACAGCTGACTCACTGCAAAGTCCCTGATGCTGGGAAAGATTGAGGGCAGAAGAAGAGGGCTTCAGAGGATGAGATGCCTGGATGGCATCACCAATGCAATGGACATGACCTTGGGCAAACTTCAGGAGATGGTAAGGGACACAGAGGACTTGCATGCTACAGTCCATGGGGTCGTGAAGAGTCAGACACAACTGGGTAACCGAACAACAATAACAACAAGCAGAAGTAAAATAGGAATCCAGGGTAAGATTCCAAGACTCATGCTCTCTTCATTCTGAGTATCAGCTTTAAAAACTAATCTCCTGTTGACCTTCACAAACCCACATGCTCCCAAGAAATCTAGCAACACACCCTTGAAAGTCAAGACTTTCCTTCTGCCAAAAGAAAACACACTACTTGCTCAGCACCACTAATTATTAGAGAAATGAAAATCAAAACTACAATGAGGTATCACCTCATGCTGGTCAGAATGGCCCTCATTCAAAAGTCTACAAATAACAAATGCTGGAGAGGATGTGGAGAAAAGGGAACCCTCCTGCACTGTTGGTGGGAACATAAGTTGGTGCAGCCACTATGGAAAACAGTATGGAGGTTCCTCAGAAAATTAAAAATAGAATTACCATATGATCCAGCAATCCCCCTCCTGGGCATATATCTGGACAAAACTATAATTCAAAAAGATACAGGAACTCCTATGTTCAAAGCAGCACTACTCACAATAGCCAAATGTGGAGACAACCTAAATGTCCATTGACAGAGGAATGGATGAAGAAGATGTGGTATATATATTCAATAAAATATTACTCCGTGGCATCTGCATCAGTACGGATGCAACTAGAGATTATCACACTAAGTGAAGTAAGTCTGAAGAGAAAGACAAATACCGTATGACATCACTTATATGTGGACCTTAAAACATGGCCCAAAGAAACCTATCTATAAACAGAAGTAGGCTCACAGACACAGAGATCAAATCTGTGGCTGCCAAGGGTGGGGACGGGGGAGGAAGGGACTGCACGTTTGGGATCAGCAGACGTAAACAATTATATATAGAATGGATACTCAACAAGGTCCCACTGTATAGCACAGGGAACTATACTCAATGTCCTGAGATAAATCATAATGCAAAAGAATATAAATAAGAACGTAAATGTGTGCATCACTGAGTCACTGTGCTACACAGCAAAAACTAACACAACACCGTTTATCACTACACTTCAATTTAAAAAAATAAATTTAAGAAAACACACCATATTCTGCAATTTGTGAACCATGCAAGGGTCTCCCCAAAGGAAAAAAGAAGTATAAATATTCTTCGCAATGTATGGACCTTACTTCTGAACACTCAAGTGAGACAGATTCAGACAGTAAAGCTGGAGTGACAAAGCCCATTTTGACATGTGGGCTGGTGGGGACGTAAATCCTGTGAATGACAACCTAGCTGGTGATTCCAGAAGAAATGTGAGCAAGAACTTCAATATGCTGAGAGGACAGCCATCGCCATGCCGATGCATCAGGAAAACCACCCTCTATACTTCCCTCATCCTCCATTACCCAAAGCTCGTCTATATTTGTATCTGTCCTTAGCCTCCTTCTTCCCGTCTCAGGAGACTGGGGGGTGTTTCTCTTCCTTCAAAGGCTAGTTAACTCAGTCCATGCTCTTTTTCCTCCCTTCCTTCTCCTCCAATGATTTCCCTCATTGTTCATTTTTCACTGTTTGCTGCTGATTCCTTGCCTTCAATTTATTTTTTTAAATAACTTTCCCTTTTCCTCCCCTTTCTTCCAAACCTCTCCCTTGAGTCTTTCACCTCAGATATCCTTGAAAGTGTTATCTTCACCTACAGCAGACCAAGTAGCTTTGCCTTTTCCTCCCACTAGCTCTTTATCCATTTGACCAGCATCACTGTGCTAAAACCACACCTCCCACTCCCCTCCTCTGCCTCCCAAAGGTACCCACACTCAAGAATTTGGTGTGTACCCTTCTGGTCCATTTTAAAAATACTTCCTTGATGTATATATGTAATCTCAAAAATAGAGTATTTGGGGGGAGGAGTTGATTTTACACATTTGGTATCACACTCTGCATACAACTCTGCCATCTAATTTTTAAAAACTCAACATTAAATTTTCGAGCTCTCTCCAAAGTCATGTATTTTACATATCATTCATCCATTCTCCTCCTGATGGACATTTCCGTTGTTTCCAATTTTCTGCTACTAAAAATGAAAGCTGCTACTAAAAATGAACATCCTCCTTGTACATACATGTAGACCCTCTCGGGAGAGACACACCCAAACATGGAACTGCAATATCACATGATACCAGCAATTTTACTAAATTCCAGATTGCTCCGTGCAATGGTCATACCAAGATCACTTCTACCAGTGGTGTATGACCATTCCTTTCCCCCCATATCCTTGCCAACACTTGATACTGTCAGACTTCTACATTTCTGCCAACCTGGTGGTAGTAAAATAGAATTTCGTCTGATTACCACTGAAATTCAATACCATTTTAACATGATACCCAGTTTCCTCTGAGCTGCCTGGTCATCTATCCTTTGCCCATTTTTCCACCAGGCTTTTAAAAAAAAAATAGTAGCTATTCTTTTATATCCTGGATGCTAATCCTTTCTTATATATGTTACAATTATGTTTCTATGCATACAATTATCTTCCCTCAAACTTATAATATTAGGAATCAGTATTTTACAAAAGCGATAAAAGTGATTCTCATGGGAAAACAGACTTGGGGAACACTGCTTCTTAAAAAACTTCAGAAAACTACTCTAAATAGCAATGAAATGATAAAGGTTACAGGGGACAAGATGGTATATGTAATTACATTATACTTCCAACTGGCCTTATCTTCAATTAGCATTAAATCACAAATGTAAGAGGTTAAAAAAAAAAATCTCACTGTGTACTCATGTTACATTTCTTTAGCTTCTCTTCCAGGTCAGGTATATCTCGGAGATCTGCTCCAATGATGGCATATCTTGTTGAATCCAACATGTGCCCATCTGTAAACGCAAGAAGAGATGGTAATTTCAACAGAAACTGATCAGGAAGAGATTGTAACTTCAGTGGATGTGGCTTTTTCAAAACGAAAGTAAATGTACTGTTTTTCTCCATTATAAAAATGCATGCTCATTATAGGGGGGAAAAATCAAGAAAGATGAGGTGAAAATTAACTAAAATCATACGTTTCAAAGATAACTATTAGCATTCAACCCCTTTTTCTATGTGCTTAAATTCATATACACAACACAGACACATCCTCCCCCCACTCTCCCCTCTCAAATACACACACACACATACACCTTGCACAACAAAAGAAAATGGGACCACCCAAAGCTTGTTCTGAAAGCTTTTCCTATTTAACAACAGTTATCAGGAACAAATGAACTTAACTTACAAAACAGGAAGAGACTCACAGGCTTAGAGCATGAACTTATGGCTGCTGGGGGGAAGGAATAGTTAGGGAGTTTGGGATGGACATATTCACACTGCTATATTTTAAATGGACAACCAATAATCACATACTGTACAGCACATGGAACTCGGTTCAATGTTATGTGGCAGCCTGGATAGGAGGGGAGTCTGGGGGAGAATGGTTACATGTATATGTATGGCTGAGTCTCTTCGCTATTCACCTGAAACTATCACAACATTGTTAATGGGTTATATTCCAGTATAAAATAAAATGTGGAAAAAAACAGTACAAGGGACAACACTCTCTGTAATGATTTCACAGTGCTTCACTGAGTAGATAAAACAACTTACTTAGCCAATCACTCAGTATTCGACAGGCAGTATTTCCAAATTTATTTCATCTGAGGCATTGCAATGAATATCCTTATGTACCTATTACAAAGGACTTGCCCAGTTATGCTGGTTATCATGAGCAGAATCAGGAGATCAAAGAGGAAGCCTATTTAAATATTGGTACTAATTGCCCTCAAAATGCTTTGTCAATTTGCAAGATATTACATTTAAAAGAAAACAGTTGATGCACTATAGTATTTACAGATAAAATAATATTTTGTTGTTCAGTCGCTAAGTTGTGTCTTACTCTGCAAACCCATGGACTGCAGCACAACAGCCTTCCCTGTCCTTCACTATCTCCTGGATGGAGTTTGCTCAAATTCCTGTCTGTTGAATTGGTGGCTATCTAACCATCTCATCTTCTGCCACCCTCTTCTCCTTTTGCCTTCAATCCTTCCCAGCAACAGGGTCTTTTCCAATAAGTCAGCTCTTCACATCAGGTGGCCAAAGTATTGGTGCTCCAGCTTCAGCATCAGTCCTTCCAATGAATAATCATGGTTGATTTCCTTGAGGACTGACTAGTTTGATCTCCCTGTCCAAAGCAGACAAGAGTCTTCAAGAGTCTTCTCCAGCACCACAGTTTGAAAGTATCAATTCTTTGTCATTCAGCCTTCTTTATGGTCCAACTCTTGCATCTGCACATAACTACTGGAAAAACCATAGCTTTCACTATACGGACCTTTACAAGTAAAGTGATGTCTCTGCTTTTTAATATGCTATCTAGGTTTGTCATAGCTTTCCTTTCAATGAGTGTCTTTTAATCATCATCTGCAGTGATTTTGGAGCCCAAGAAAATAAAATTTGTCACTGCTTCCATTTTTTCCCCTTCTATTTGTGATGAGTGATGGGAACAGATGTCATGGTCTTAGTTTTCTCCTGGCAATCTTGATTCCAGTTTGTGATTCATCCAGCCAGGGATCCGCATGATGTACTCTGCATGTAAGTTAAATAAACAAGGTGACAATATACAGCCTTGTCATACTTCTTTCTCAATTTTGAACCAGTCAGTTGTTCCACGTAAGATTCTAACTGTTGCTTCTTGACCCACATACCGGTTTCTCAGGAGGCAGGTAAAACAATATTCCCTTTAAGATATTCCAACAGAGGTTGGAAGAAATGGTATATATTGTGATTTGCAAGCTTTGGCAGGAATCAGAATCGCCCAGAGACCTTGTTGAAATAACTGATCAGGCTCCACCCCTTGAGTTTCTGATTCATATTTTTTAAAAATGTTATTGTTATTCAGTCACTAAGTTGTATCTGACTCTTCGTGACCCCATGGACTACAGCATGCCAGTCTTCCCTATCCTTCATTATTTCCCAGAGTTTGCTCAAATTCATGTCCACTGAGTCAGTAATGCTATCTAACCATCTCATCCTCTGCCGCCTTCTTTTCTTCTTGGCTGCAATCCTTCCCAGCATCAGGGTCTTTTCAAAAATGGAAATCCATATTTCTAGTAGGTTTCCAGATTGTGTTGATGCTGTTAGTGTGGGACTATACTTTTATTTATTTTTTCAATATTTATTTATTTGGCTGTACCTGGTCTTAGTTGCAGCCTGCGGGATCTAGCTCTCTGACCAGGGATCAAACCCAGGCCCCCTGCATAGGAAGCATGGGGTCTTAGCCACTGGACCACCAGGGAAGTCCCAAGGGACTACACTTTTAGAACCACAGGTACAGATGAAATGACACTGGCAATAAAATTAGGCGATGGTACAAGGAGATGCATCAATCTAGTAACATTATTTTTGTGTAGCCCTGAAATTCTTTTCAATTTAAACTTTCCATTTTTAAAGATAGATTAGAATAAAAAAAGAAATTAAATGGCTTGATTATTTACTCCAAGCACTGTTTGCTCAACTTCCTCAAAGGTACAAACCATGGAAGGAGCTGGGACATTCGACAGCCACCCTGCATCCCTGCTGAGAACTCAGATCTCTCCTGAGAACCCACAGCAAAAAAGTGTGAGGAAGGGAAACAGCATGTGAGCTGGTTTTCCCTTACTTTCCTGAGAACCCCACTGAGCTAGTTCAAATATACTTGGCCACATCCCGTAAGCTAACAAGATATACCTTCTAGGAACCTGCCACATGGCAGGAAACCACCCAAGGACAAAGCTAGGAGACCCAGAGTCAGTCCTGGGCACTGCAACACCCGAGTTCAGAAAAGAATATAAAGGATGTGAAGGCACTTGCTTGCCCTGCTGTGAAAACAAGCAATGACTCTCAAATGCCTGTGTGCCTCCTGACAAATAACATAGATATTAAAGTTAAGGATTTCCATCCCTGACCACAAAAAAAGAGAGAGAGGCCCAGAATGTTGAAGCATGTGGTTCCCTCAGACCATGCAATTCACAAGAGACCCGTCTTACTAAGAGATGTGGATCTAAAGGTATATGCAAGGCAAAAATTGCACATGGTCATGATTACTCTTAACAACTGAACGTAAGGTATGGCAGAGTTGCAAGGGGCGATGACCCGGGGTGTACCCAGCAGTGGCCCAGCTGTATTCCCAGGCAAGCTGGCACACTACCTGGGAAGCCCTAGACACAATGACCCCAAGGTGTCATCAAACGATACACTCTGATGCTCTAAATCACACAAACACCACACCTGTCATGATCCTCAGAAGTCAGGGGCTACTCAAGCTGTGCAGAAATAGAAAGCCTGTTATCTGCCCTTGAAGAATGCCTGACCCTCATTTCACAAGAAACAGAAAGAAGATACAGGCCCAGGGTAAGTTTCAAGGGAGGTATCCTATTCTGGGACTTCCCAGGTGGCACAGTGGTGAAGACTCCACCTGCTAATGCAGGACACTCAAGAGACTTGGGTTCAATCCCTGCATCAGGAAGGTCCCCAGGGGAAGGAAATGGCAATCCACCCCAGTATTCTTGCCTGGAAAATCCCATGGACAGAGGAGCCTGGCGGGCTACCCTCCACGGAGTCGCAAAAGAGCCAGACATGAGTGAGCACACACTGCTATTCTAGGAAAATGCGCCAGTTTTAGAAAATCTAACAGTGGGAAGAGACCCAGAAAACAACAGAAAAGCCTTGGTGTCTTTAGAATGTCTCTGAGAGCAGGTGAGAAAAAGACCTTCTCACCAAAGTGAGACTCAGAATCCCTTCCTTTATTTCTATATTCTAATTTCCGAAGAGAAAAATAGAAGGGGACTTCCAAGCATTTTGTGTGATATTCACATAAGAACAACTTTCTCAAGGAATAGCTGGTACCCACCCAATTCTGGAAAGCAAATTAACATTGATTTAAAACCCTAGATTGCTACCAGGAGCTCTCTCTGTGATCAATCATTACAGGATTGACTTCTAAGAGGATTTAAAAGGGAGACGTCCTGAAGGTATAGCACCATGACATGGTTTTTTTTAAAAATTAAGAACAAATTAATACCAGGCCAGAATGGCAAGACGAGTATAAAAATCCTAATCCTCAGGCTTGGTCATCATTTCATTCAGGCAGCAGCTCTCAACTTTGTCCCTGGGGAGCACTGGGTGGCGTCTGGAGACATTCTGGGTTGTCACAACTGGGGGATGCTAGTGGCGTCTAGTAGGTAGAGGTCAGGGATGCTGCTAAAACATTACACATTTTGTGGGACAGTCCCCCAACAGGGAATTACCCAGCCCCAGATGTTAGGAGGACTGAGGCGGAAAACACTGTGCTAGACTTACACACAAAAATTTGAAGATCATTAGTTGATGTTGAAGTTTAAAAAAAAATCCTTGAACAGTTTTAATTATTCTCAGACAGGGGAAATGTAACATACTGTAGCTTGGGAACAGGACATGGCTCCCAAGATGAAAATTCTCTGAAACGCATCGGCAGAGGAACAGGCTTTGGAGTCAAAACAACCCTAAGAGTAAAGCTCTATTCTGCCAGTTCCCAGTCATATGACATACCACTCTTGCCGACCTTTCTTCTAAACATAAAATTCAGACAACGGAAACCTCATATGGCTACAGCAAACATTAAGGGCAATGTAAAAGAGTGAGCTCCAGGACTTCCCTGATGGTCCAGCGGTTAAGAATCTGCCTGCCAGTGCAAGGGACATGGATTCGATCCCTGGACTGGGAATTAAGATTCCACATGGCGCAGGGCAACTAAATCTGTGTGCCGCAACAATGAAAGCCCATGATCTAGAGCCCGCAAGATGCAACAAGAGAATCCACTGCAATGAGCACC